CCCCTTTCTATCCACCATGGGGCAGAAGTAAGTGTGCAGTCCTTATGGTGAGGTGGGAGGATAACCCCTCTGCATTGGTTTTCAATGTTGCCACCCCCAGCATTGCTCTGTTGAGGCTGTTAAGAGCAATAATCAGAAACAGGGTGGCATGGCCATTTCAGTTCATTACCTGACAGCATAAGATAACAAGCTCAGGGGAAATCTAAGCACAGCAACCAGCTATCAGCCAGGAGAGTCTGGTTCCCTCTGGATGCTGCCACACATCAGAAAGTAACCCAACAAGAGGTTTAAGTGAACATTTTGTTCTTGTTTTCTAACACATGTCAACAGGTTTTCTGAGACAACTTGCATCTCCATGGAGTATATGCTTGACAGAAAGCAGGTAGGTGCCTGGCTGCTGTCAGTGTGCTGAGTGAGTAGTTTGCTTATCCTCCCTTGCCTTCTGAAAATATCAGCCAGGAAGTTTAACTGTGTGTTAGTAAGGGGCTGACAGTGCCAGCCTCTTTGCTGTTGCTTTCAAGGTCAGCTCTAATTGACCTTCCTCTTGCTTCATTTAGTTGCTCACATTGTTTTCTTTTTATTTCCTAACTGTGTTCTTATTGTTGGGATTTCTGTATGTTCCTGCACTGTCTTTCGGTTAAGCCGATTCCTGCTTACTTCCTCCCTTTCTGCTTGCACCTTTTCCTCCTCCTTCTCTTCCCCTCTCTCCTGCCTTCTCTCTTTTCTCAGGACTCACTCCTTCTCCTGTGCCTCATTAGTTATTTCTGCATCCTGACATGCAGCCCAGATCCCTGACCTGCAGCTCTATGGCCCAGATGCCTTGTCCTCTCAGTTAGCTTTCAGGAGCAGCTGTTTCACACAGAGGCAGGTTACTCCTGCATGGTGGGAAGCAGATGCTGTATTGCAACTAGAGAAACGCAACAGGAGTTGTTGCCTTGCCTAGAAGCAGTCCATGGGCTGTATTCCAGCTGTGCAGGAGGCTCCCTTCCTGTGGGCAGGTTTGTGCCTGGCACAGCATTAAGTAGGTGATGTGTCTCCATGTGAGCCATAGGAAGACACTGGTGTACACAGGCAAGGTACAACTTGATGATGTTGAGCCAGCAGCTCTCCTACCTGTGGCTCTGGAGTGACAAAATCCCACTCAGAAGACTGTCTTGCTTCTGATGGAGGTGTAAGTTCCTGGCTTCCTTGAAGTTACAGCCTTGATCACTTGCTAGGGTAGGATCTGTATGTACACTGGCTGGATGTTGTGGTGCATGAGAGCAGCATAGAGCCAGATTTGGCCTGACATGCTGAGCCCTCAGGAAGTCCACAGGGAGTTTCAAGCAGTAGGAAAATGAGGTCCTAACCTACTCAGCCTGTGCCTGTATGAAAAAGCTTGCTGCTGCAAGTAAAATAACAGCAAGCGTGCATGATGCAAAAGCAGACCATGAGGTTTTCCAGTAAGCAAAAGAATCTGCTGGCAGGTTACACTGCTCCCATTGCAGAGAAGATATCCTCTATGGCAGCACTGATGGCAATCAACAAATCAATACAGCGAAGCCACCAATAACTTCATTTTTAAAAGAAAAAATTAATTTAAAAAATCTATTTTAATTACATTACCCGGACCATTAGAAAAAATATACATAATGAGAAGAGACCAGTCTGTGCCATCACTTTGAGAGACTCGAAATTAATGTTCCTGACAGGAACCCCAGGGTGGAGATAGGTGTTACTCTCTGCTGCAGCAATATCATCCTGTTTGAATTTAGCCTCTGCAGGCTTTGCTGGAGGGAGATTTCCCTGTGACGTCAGTTGCTTAGGTTTTGTCTCCTTCCTTCCCAAGCCAAAGGCACACAGCCCAGTCTTAGCTGCTAGTAGAAGCAGTGCCAGCCAGCAGAGGGAAAGGCCAGACTAAGTGCAGCATCCCAAACTCTCTAGACAAGAGAATTTTGCCAGCTCCCAGTATCAACATCTTCCACTACTAAACCACTGGTGGAAAAAACTGATGAGTCACTGTAAATATTGCTGTTTAAAAGGGTCCAGGAGGTGTGTGGTCATGGCCTTGAAATAAGTATGATAAATTGTTTAGTGTGGTCACAGTTTGGGAAGCTCCATTGCAGAGGAAACCTGTGTGCCTTCCAGGCACATCATGGAGTACTCTAGCCCTACCCAGCTTTGGGATACCCTATGCTCCATGTCCCCATGCCCTTCGTCCCTCAGTGCAGGGCAGAGAAGAGACATTTGCCCATTGCTTTACTTGCTGATGTTTTGCAAGGAGCTCACATTAATTTGGAGAGTGCAAATCTCGTGGAGGAGGCAGCAGCCATGCAAGCACCTTCACAAGCGTTCAAGTCTTCCATGATCCTGTCCCAAGGATATTGGCTTGAGAAAAGAGCCTTGTCCAGCCTGTATGGCTGGGACCAGGTTCCCTCCCGTGGCTGAGAGCTGCCACAGCAGGAACCAGCTGCTCTGCGATCTGCAAAGTGTGCAAGGGGCAGGAATTTTGCGCAAAAGATGCTCCTCCCAAGACCAGTATTGAACTTAGGTCACACCTCTTGCCAGTCAACACCAACGTCCTAGGAAAGAGCACATGTAATTTCTGCAGACAGTAGCAGGATAACATTTGGACACTTATGAGAGCAGACAGATCTCTGGGATGCTCCTCTTATCCAGGACTGAACCTATGCTTGAGTGGACTGCTATAAAAGTGAAGGGATTCTTCTCATTTGTTTTATGCAAAGTAGAAAACACAAGTCTGAGCAGAGGACAGTGTAGCACATTTTTACCCATTTTTATCCCCCAAAGACTACATAGGGTCTACCACCTGGGTCATCCTGGTCAGGCAACAGTGGATGGCTCTGTGCTAACACTCGCAGTTACTGCAGTAGGCCAAGTGCTGTGTGGGTGTATGTATGAGGTGAGTAGCTATCTCATAATTCATGGATACTGTCTGTTACCTGATTTTGGAACAACTGCTGCATAAACAGTCAGTGCTACCAAAGCACTCACTGGGGTGTGTGTGTTCACTGATGTTGTGCAGTCACTGGGTGCGCCAGGACCAGGGGGGAAGTCAGCACAATACCTCAAGATATGCTATCGACTGTAAATTTGGCAGGAAGTCATTCAAGATTTCCTGAGCTATTCCCTGGGGGGACAAAAAGCTGACTCCAGGCTCCAGCAAAGTCAGAGGACTTGCACTGCCAGGGCTGAGAAATCAGAAGAAAACTGACTCTAATAAGTCAACGTCAGCAGCTTCAGCAGGGAGCCCTCTGCCCCAGAATGATCTTATGCCCATGGGGTTGGGGTAGTGATGAATGACAAGATTTGGGAGACATGTGCCAAGGGGCTCTTTGTAAATGCTTACTTGAAGGTAGGCTCATCTGAGCCTCCCTAAGGGTTTGTGGACCAAGTGAGGTACGGACATGGACAGGTCTGAATCCAGGTCTGTAAAGCTTTGTAAATCTCTATAAGGTGGAAATAAATGAGACCTTATTTTAAGAAAGCTATTAGATTGCTCCATGAGCACTCACCCACATCTCCAGGAGGGAGATTCACAGACACCGAGCAGACTTGGACAAACTGGGAGAAGAGAGTTTTCTGCCATCAGGCAGCAATCAGAGACTGGGACAAGTGCATAAGCTTGGAGGGAGGCCAGACCAGTCAGGTGAAGGCAAGGAGCTCCAGCACTTGTAGGGAATCATTCAAAAAGAGTTGAAGGGGTTAGGGCATGATTTAAACAATACCAAGAGTGCATGTGGTTCATCTCACTTGATGCATAGTCTTGTTGCTGCAGATATATGACTTCAAAAACATTCGTATGTTGCCAGCAATACATTTCTTTTGGTTTTCCTCTAAATCTCATCAACCAAGACTCAAGGGCTGTCTCAGTAGATAAAAGGTCTTGGGAAATTACTTGGAAATCTCATTTCTAGGCTGTGCCTACAGGTGAAAATTTTTCTAAACTCTGTGAGATTATTTTACTGCTTAAATACTTAGTATTCAAGTAAAAACAAAGTCATCATACTGTGGTCAAGGGAGAAGAGTCAAATACTTATATTTCACACTTGAAGAAATGAGCAGAATAAGAGACCTTTCTTCTTAACAAAGAAACCCAAAAACCAACAAGAGAGGGGGAAAAAAGGATGTGAAGATTAAACAGCCAAACTTCTAGTTTTGAGAACTTGCAAAAATTCTACAAGTGAACCTGTAAAATCAGATGTTATCTAGCAATCAACCACTACATGCACCTGGCTCAGAGTTCAAATTTGAGTGCAGAGAGCAGCAGGGACAGAAACAAGCAGTTTGAAGCTGCCACTGAACTTGATCAAAATATGTATGGGAATTTTTATGGTATGTATTTTCTACATGCTGCTTGAATCGAGGACATTTGTTCCTTAAGTTCAGAGCTTACTTACAAGCCTGCCAAAGCTGATACAACTTTTTATGCATTTAGATCATTTGCTGGCTATTCTGTAACAAGTATGTGTTATTTTTAACATGAAAAATGCCAGAAATTAGCTGTCTCTCTTTTTAAAATTAACATTTATAATCAGAATAATTTTTCTTTCTCCACAGTGAACAGCTATAGAATGATTAGCCCCTAAGTCAGTGCAAGGTGGTCTGTACACACAAGAAAATATTTGGTGACGAGAGAGAGACATGAAACACACTTTGTCCTACCTGCTTGACTGTACCAGTGTAGCACAATGCACAGCAACCAGTAGTCCTTTTTACTCCTGTTAAAACATGCAACTAAGAGACCAAAAGGGTTTTTCTTATCCCAGTGACACGGTATGTATCTCATATATATGTCTTTGATTCTCATCCCATAGGAGAGAAAGAAAATATAGCTGGAAAAATAAGGCATATTTCTCCAGCAGGATTTCAAGGGGGAAAGCCTGCCTGCCTGGACTGTAAGGAGGTACCCAAACCTACACAAAGACATCCCCTTGGACTGGTGACACCATTGATCAGGCTTGCTCTTGCTGAGAAGGTCTCCACACAACACTGCAACAATGAATTTCCTCCGGCGGCGTCTCTCAGACAGCAGTTTTGTGGCAAATTTGCCCAATGGCTACATGATGGACTTGCAGCGCCCTGACAACTCCACAAGCTCCCCAGTTTCTCCTGCCATGGAGAGAAAGCATCCACAGCCACCTCAGCCCTCGCATTCTCCATCTACTGGCACCAGCTTCTTCAGCTCCATCTCCAGTGCCATGAAGCAAACCACACAAGCAGCTGCAGGACTGATTGACCACTCAGCCAGCCCCACACCACCCGTGGCCCAGAAACCCAAGATCCTCCTGGTGATTGATGATGCACACACAGACTGGTAAGTCATAAACAGTCCTCCCACTGAATTCAGCTCCAAAATGTTTGGGAGATGAGAGGGATCTGGGAGTCACAGATAATCTGCAGGAGGGTACACAGATACTTTCACATCTAGGTCACCAGCTCTGGCCCCAGACTGGTGTCTGTCAGATGACTTGTGAAAATGGCAGAGTAGGATTTTTTCATAACTTTCTTGAAAAAAATGTTCATTTAGTATTCATTGACCAACTTCTTCTTAGATTCAATGTATGAGCACACACAGGGCATTCTTGACTCAGCAGGCTTAGTCAAGCTGTCACATCCAGCAATGGTCTTGAGGTCACAGATGAAACTGTGTTAGTGATGTTGTCCAGGGCATTAACCCACTGTTTGTGATGGTTTTAAAAATTAAAAGGGACTCAATCTCTCGAGCTCTCAATCTCTCTTGAGTTTTTCTCTGTATGCAAATTTGTACATAAATTATGAAAAGATAACCAACCTAACTACTACCTGGTCAAGAGCCCTTCATGTGCCAAGCATAGCAACAACTGCTGGCAAAAGGCTATTGGGCTCAGCTAAGCTTTACATTTGTCTTGTTCGTGCAGGTCTCTTCATAAATAAAAGTTTGAAAGTTTGTTTCCTATGACACTGGGTAGCAGAGGACACTTTCCAAAGGGTAGGACAACCGAAGTCTTCTGGAATGTTAGAGAAATTACTTCCTGCTTGCTGTATGCTCCCTTTCAAAGTCAGCTGGTTTAGACAGCTTTAAGCAAGCTGCCTGACCTGTGGGAAAATCAGAGAATTTGTTTAGAAGATGCTCTTGTTTCATCTACCAGCATGTCACAAGACAAAAGAAAAGGAAAGAATAGTGCAGGTAAGGGGGCAATATTGAAGACTTCAAAATGAAAGAAGATGTGTTACCAGGTCATGGCCAAGGGAGATTATTTTATTGTTCTTTTCATCCCATGCCACTTATCAGTACTGTTGCCACCTTTGGTCTTCTCTGCTTAACTAGAAGAGTGGGAACAAGGTGAGATCTGCCTCCCTAGGTGTATCTTCACAAATCAATATCTTAGTTTTTACCTGAAACAGGACCATGACTGAGTACAGCTAGATCAGGCATGTTCAGCCGAGTTGAAGTAAGAGAAGGAAAATGGTGAGATTTTTCTCAAAGGAAGAACAACTTTTTAACCAAGTGGGAAAGTCCTTGATAAGATGGTGATCATATCAAATGTTTCACTGGCTTAGTGTCTTTTATCAGAGTAGCAGTCCCAGTAGCAGCAACACCAGTCTAGCTCAACCAGATCTGATCTCTCTTTCCTGAGTACATCCACAAGTCTCCCTGCAGGCTGATGCTCACCAACCTCCATCTCTGTGAAGAGTTTTTGCAGTTCCTTGAAGATACTGCCAGGTGGCAGTCCCTTAACATAGCATCCTCCAGCCGGGGATGGGAGTGCCTTTGACACACAGCTCTAGCATCTGCGGCTTAGCCGGCACTGCATAGTCCAAACACTGTAATCAGAGGGGAAAGCCCTAGCTCAAAGGCCAATCTAGTTTTTCCTTGAGATTAATGGCGCTGAAGGTAGTCAGAGCAGGGGAAAGGACCAGGAGGGGTTGGACTCTGCTGCAGTGTTTTCATGTTTTAAAATACACACTACATTTGAATCCCTGCCTTTATATCTCCCAGCTGCTGTGCTGTCATGCAGACTTTGTGGTCTGTGAGCTGAGCTTACCCAGAGAGCAGCAGCTGGGATATATAAAGTGGAGGTATGGCTACCCATGCTGTCTTCACTCCTCCACTCATGTGTAAGCACTCTGTGCATCCTGCTGTCTTGGCTATCCCTCTGCTGTCTATAACTTCACAGATTCTAGACATGATGGGATACTCCTTTCATTTCTCCCAGGTCTCTACCTCTATCCACAAGTTTGCAGGTATCAAATGAGTCTTGCAAAGGCTCCCTGCCTTTGCTCTCACTAAGGCAGGGAGGGCACTGAACAAAATTAATGTATGAATTCTTGATCATTTCCAGATACATGCATTACATGTAAAACAATGATAAGTACATTACTAGCCCTTGCCTGCCATGGCTCTTTGTAGCATAGGCAGAAATACATGCTTGGAAAGTTCTTCAACCTGAAGGCAGCAGCACATGGTCCTTTCTGAGAGAGTGTACCGATGCAACCACTTCTGTGGGCCAGGAGTGCTACTTGGCAGTTGATTTTTGTGTCTCAAGGAAACTCATTGAGCCCTTGAGAGCAAGACTGGAGAGCAGTGGCTCCATGGCTCCATGGCCATTTATTTTTGGTAAGGTACTTCTGAGCAATGCCAGTCATCTTCTTGGTCTCAGCCAGAGTGCTATGTGAGTTCAGGCTGAGCAGCCTGGGGAAGCAGCGTTTGCCTTGTGAGAGCACAGCTGACAAGGCTCGTTATCCAGGGATTCTGACTGTCCACTCTACATCATATATGGAAACAGACCCAGATTTTGGGAAGGGAACAGTGTATTTCTACTTCTGTGCTGGTGGTTTTGGGTTTGGTAGAAGCATCATGTTTGTAATGCATTTAACCTCTGCCTGCTCTGGTTCTTGCTACTTGTGAAACCTTTGGTTTTCAAGAAACCCTTTCCTTCTCCTTTTGAAATAGTTTACTAGTAAAAAATATTCTCCAAAATATAACTACTGAAGTGATAGCTTTATTTTAAGGTTTGGGGGCTTCCAGTGCCTTCACCTTCATAGCAAGTTACACAGGCTTTACAACAAGGACTAACTTGTTCACAGACAGGAAGGGTGAGAGACAGTGGAATCTGCTATTTGATTTCTCTTCTCTAAACAAAAACACTTTCTCAGAATTAGAGACTGTAGCAATATTGCCAAGCCAGACATTAATTTATCATCACTGTTTGTATTACAGCAAAGAGCTGCAATTATGAATCAGGACGAGGTGTTGCACAAGTGCACGACAAAACGTTCTAACAACCCCAAATAGGCAAGTGCCTGTTGAATGCACTTTAAAGTGACAAATGGCAATCCTTTCTATTTTCAAGGAGCTTCTATGTCTCTGATGGTACAGCATAGCACTCAGCTTCTCTCAGAGGTCTCTGGAGGAAGGAAAGAGCATCCATGGGAATCCATGGCCTATCTTCCACCATAAGATCCTTGCTGTTCTTCACATGCAATATGCTCTGTTTTATTCCAAAGACAAAGTGCTATAAAAATAACGCGAGTCCCACGGAATATGATCAGCTGCTTTCTGCATTAGCAGCAGCAAAAGAAAGGTACATTCTATTAAAAGCAAGGGAACTCACCCAGCTTTCTGTTAAATGGCAAAATTTTGACAGATTTTTCCATTCTTCTCCAAGCCACAGCTCTAGCACATTGCAAGGAAGCACACACTCAATAGCCTGGGGTTAGCTGTGCACAAGAGGAAAATACTGTCTATGTAGCTCCCTTATGCTCTTGGCTTTGACAGGCAGCACTCAGAGGCATGCATAGCATGGATCTGTGCAGCAGCACACTGGGGAAAAGTGCAGCTTCTCTTCAGTTGTTAATGGTACATTTCTCAGCTGGGGAGCTTCCATCTGGAGAATGAGGCTCCTTCTTGTGGGCTGGGAGTATCTGGGCCTTGGGAGACTTCCAAAAATGTATCCACAACTCACCTACAGCAGCTGCCAGAAAAAAAGAAGCTCAGACATGAATGCATGTGCATGTGTTAAACACACAGCACAAGGGAGCAGGACCATGAGGAATGGGGACAGCAGGACTCCATGCAGTGTCATATAGCCCAGCTCTGGCAGTCCAACCTCAGCTAGGAGAAAAACATCCCACCTCTGGCAACCTCCTTGCCCAATGTGTTGTTAAGTAAAATCATGCTCCTGCTGGATTGAATTTCTCAGCAGATCAAACAGGATTTAGTACTGTGAATTGTTAACCCCCATCCTCTGTGAAAGTGCTCAGCTCTCTAGCCTAATGCCTCGTGTTTAAACAGCTTATTGGGGAAGTGATCAAGCACAGCTAAGGCTCCTCTGAACAACACATGCTAAAAGCATTGCTTTTTGGACTAGACAGCATAACAAAGTCATTCTTGTTGCATTTGTTAGATATCTTGGTTACATTTGTGCAATAGCTCATGTCACTTTTTAGAGTCAGTGGGGTGTTTTGCCTGTGTTTTCCAGCTGTTTCAAGTCCTAAAAGTGCTATGGGATGTCCTGCACAAAATACACATGCCCTACATGCTGCAGATCTGCATGTGAGGATTGTGCCATGCAAGTTTCCCTCAAAAAATCAATCACAGAGGATATTTTAGGAGACAGAAAATTGCATTTTCCCCCCATTTACTTTACAGCCAAATCTGCCAGAACATACTGTCTCCAAAAATTCTAAGATGAAGGAAGATAAAAACTGTGATTAATACTGAATGAAATCCTCTTAATACATCTGAAATGGTTATTTGTATAACAATAATGTCATGATTCAGGTCTAATTGTAGATTGATTTGACAGGATTACTGTTTTCTACTGTTCAAAGGAAATTATCAACCTTTTTAACATAAAATTTTTTCTTCTGATAGTACATGACAATACTGAGCCTCAAGTATGTCATTTGCCTAAAAATATGACTGGTCAATTAGTAACAGTCTAATACTGAATTTTATTAACATGAAACTTCCAAAATCCTATTTTTTTCAAGGAGTTCCTTTTCAAAAATATTCAATGAGTGTCATGAGTCATTTCATGCTTTCAGTAGGCTGAAGGTGATATATTAAGTCTCCCATGAGGAGGAATATTTCTGTATCTAACTCATTTAAATACAATGGGAAGTCAGGTGATATATTAAGTCTCCCATTAGGAGGAATATTTCTGTGTCTAACTCATTTAAATACAATGGGAAGTTTTGGACTTCAAACCTGAATTCAGGAATTTTCAGGTTAAATTGAAAAGTTTCATCTCTATTTCCTGATAAGAAGCCCTAAATCATCTAACATGATGGTAACTGATACTAAGTTAATATGAATTAGCTCTTTTTCTT